GAAATATGCGTCTCATCTGTCTTCTAGTGGTTATGATGGCCATCCTTGCTGGATGTTGCTATGACCACGCTACAGCGGGCACAACTGATCAAGTTGAGAACGTGAAGACAGCTTCGAAGCCAAACAACTCCAGTGGCGACAAAGCAAACTACTACCTCAAGAGTGACACGAAAAGTGACGAAGAAAGAGGAGGCCTAGGGAAACTCCAGACAATTTTTCAGAAGTCTCCCAAATTTAACACCCAAATGAGGAAGACATCAGATTTAAAGACACTACAAGCTGCTGCGCTGAAGTCATGAAGATGAAGAATTCCGGAGAAAAGATTGAGATAACAAACCGGGACGTTAAACGTCTGAGGTCGTTTACAGCTAAAAGCCCTTTACAAGGATTGAACCTGATCGAGAAGTTGATAGGGATGGCGATGGTGGGCGTGTTAGTGGGCGGGTTTACTGGTCTCCTTGTGTTGTTCCTCAACATGATCAACGCCAAAAAATAGACGTGCATAATTTACATACTCGCAAGTATGTTAAGAAAACGAAAAAAATCTCAGTGCGTTGCAATGTTCCTCGTACATGATTGAGAAAAACAGATAAACCGCCAATCTACGCCTTGGCAGCCTCAATCGCCTTGGGGCCAGCATTCCGGCGCAGCAAGTACAGCACGCGCATGGTGTACTTGGTGATCTGCTCCTTGGTCATGACCAACAGGGCGCTCTTGAGGACCGTGTTGAAGAGTTGAGCCGAGCAGCCCTTGAAGTAGCCGCTGGGACCTTCCAGTTCGCCAATACGCTTCAGCACCTGCAGCATTGAGGTGCCCATTTCCGCATGATGGTGACCATGCGAGCTTTTTTGTCCAGCAATCTGCTTTTTCTGCGCCTGCATCAACACCTTGGCACGGATCACTGGGTATGTGATGATCGTGGCCACTGCCTTGGCAATAGCAGCCAAGATAAACGCCTCCAACGCCGTCAGTGAGCTCACACGCTTGGCATTGCTAGCCGCCATCTTGGAGTGCTGTAGCTGCAGCTTTAACTTGTCGAAGATGGTGTAATTGATGGACGGATTGCTCACCAACACCAAGGACGGGATAAATCCCTTCCAGAAGGACATGAGCCCGTCCTCGGCGTAGATTTCCTTACCGATGCCCCACATAGTGCGTCGTTGGGGCTCCGAGGTCTTGTTCTTATCATCAGAGTCACTAGACTCATCATCACTGGGCTGGATCTGAGCCCGAGTGTTGATCATCTCCAACGGGAGCGTCATGGACATGTTTAAAGCTCCGGCAGTGGAGGCCATGAGCAGACTCATGCCCGTAGTGATAGGCGTGCTCGAGTGCTTCTCTACCGCCGTCTTAAGGAACGAATACCAGTAGAAATACGCAAAGTTGGACGACACAGTGTGCACGACCTTAGAGCTGAGGCCAGCGAGGAGACCCTCGACTCCTTCTTTGCGGTAGATGAGCCACACAGCCACCAGAAGGTTGTGCGCCTTCTTCTTGCGGAGCTCCACGGCTTTTGCTTTGGCCTCTTCCGTCTCCTCCTCCTTACTGTCGTCCACGTCTACTTGACGTCGTGTCTTCACTACGTCCAGCGGATACAGCAACACGGCAGCGAAGAGTGCACCCATGGCACCGGCCTGCAATTAGCAGATTATAAATATTATGTTAGTAAAAAATATGATACAATGGATTACTCTTCCTCCGTCTGCAGGTTACGACGTTGGGGGTACGTACGGATGCGTCCACGAAGGCCTTGAAGGCGGGGGAGGTGGGGTTCTTGTCGGTCATAGCTGGAGATCTTAAGCGCGAGCCAGTAATTGCACGAATGTTGACTCGAAGTTGCAGGCGTCCCGTCAGTTTTTGATCAAGTTTGACGGGGAAGGCTACCCCTCGTAAATATGGTATCTTATTAGAAAGGTGGTGAATCTGCGACATGAGGTGATGGACACAGCAGTTCATGAAGCAAATTTGCTTGATGCACTCCACTCGAAGACTTGCTCGGTACATTGATGCAGTGCGAAGGCGGCCAGACCGTGTACAAGTCGTATATGGGGTGCTGCGATACTTCGATGGGAAGCGCGGGCTGATGTCAGGCCGGCAGTGTCGTTATGACCAGGAAGGTAGCAATATCGGCCGAGTCGTGTCATGGTGGAAGGAGCAATTCTGAAGCAGACCACTCCACCACCGAGTCCTGCTCGGGTGGCGCGAAAGAATGTGGAATGCTTCGAAGGTGCACGAATTGTCTCTGAAATGACACCTTTAATTAAAAAGTTATGGGATCACTTCCGATGACGTTCAGTTCACAGGTAAATTACCCCCACTGAAAACAATGCCACGAGACTGTTACCTCATAGACTCATGCCAAATAGTCATAAAAGCCTCTAATACAAGTACGCATCGCTCCGAAGGCAATATACAACGATTGCTACCGTTTTTCAGTCTCTCTTGGGTACACTACACAAAACTCATAATATGTATGGAGAAATAAGCTATGCTGGTAGGGTCAGTCGACATCACCTGAGCCTACGGCTGCAAACCGTAGAGCTTAGTAGCGCAAATGAAAAGTTGCAGTTTCAACTGGATCGAATTTACCACAGCCACAAGAATCTCTGTAATAATGCAAAGCTCTTGGATTATACAGCAATACAGCCTTCACTTGCCATCAATGTACACGCTTCTGCTACATGCTATCTTCCAGTTCCATTGCATGTTGCGGTGTGCGCGTCCAAGTTCCGATCGGGTTATACTACATGTATTCCGAAGTTCGGAATCCGAACACACTCACATCAAACTCGATTTTCCATACGATATTCTTGTCGATTGCCCTTTTTCTGTTGATCCGCCGCTTTCGTCCACTGTGTGGATTCAAGAGTGTATATCATCGGACAGGAGTGGACTGTCCACTGCCGCTCGACCTCGCACACAGAAATCCCTTCATATTTGAACGGCAGCGCAGCGAGACCAGAGTACCAGACGGCCGCCCTCATCTCTTCCAGCTTCCGCCCCACAGCCCCCTCCATCCGCATCACCACCATGGTGAGTGCCGCTCCTTCTCCCCCTTGCTCTTCTCTTCGTGGCGTTGCACGTTTCCCCCTCCCCCTTGTCTAACGCACATTCTTTCCCCTAGGACGAGCACGACGATCTCTACATGATGGAAGAAGGTATATAGGGAAGACATGGGATGTTTATTCAGCAGTACTAACGCTCTTGCTTATATCTACCTCCCGTCAACCGCAGAGCTCGACGACGGCCGCTATTACGACGACGTAGACGACTTGAGCTCCCAACAGCGTCTAAAGCGTGTGCTGTACCCGCCGCGACTCATGGTGGACTTCAAGAGCTTGGGTGTACGTATAGTTCTCTTATTACCCCCGCGGTAGTGCCTAGCTAAATGACGCTTGCGCAGGTCGAAGCTCTGAGGCGCTACGCCAAGTTCTACCACCTTAAGTTCGACGACGACGCGGACAAGGAGGAGCTGGCAGCGCAGGTGGCTCGTCACTTCGATATGTCGCTGGAGGTGGAGGAGGACGACTCCATCGTCGCCTTCATGCAGCGTCTGCGTAATGGCGAGCGGACGGCGGTCAAGCGCTCGACTGTCCGTGAGAAGGAGCGCAAGGCGCAGGCGGCCGCCGACAAGGCCAAGCGCAAGTCCAACAGCCGCAAGCGCCAACGTGACCACTCCGTGTCCGTCTCGTCCGGTCGCAACACAAACAACAGCTCGAGCCACAATACGAGCAACGGAAACTCCGGGAACTCGTCCACTCACCACAGCCACTCGAGCGGATCCAGCAACGGCCACAGCGGACGGAGTGAAGGTCGCAAAGCTCCACCGAGCAGTTCGAAACCTGCCAACTCGAGTGGCAAGAACAAGAAGAACAAAAAGGACGCAGACACGGGCGAGGACAACGAACTCTACTGCATCTGCAACTTGCCCAGCTACGGCAACATGATCGCGTGCGATGGCAAGACGTGCCCCAACCCGTCGCAATGGTACCATCTCGAGTGTGTGGGTCTGGCCGATGGCCGCCATCCGGACACGTGGTTGTGTCCGGAGTGCGACCCCAAGGGCTTCTCCGGTGGCTCCTCCAACAGCCACAAGAAGAAGAAAAACAAACGCTCCAAGTCTCCTGGCAACAAGTAAAAGGGATCCTTTCAGTGGCGAGGAGAAGAGCGACTGCTGTTGCTTTTGCTGCGTTGCATGCCTTCGATTCATTCAAATATACCTCTATTGTTGATCGCTTATGTAGCTAAAGTTATCTTGGCTTCGTCCTTTTGCAGCCATTTTGTAGATCTATTGCGCTAATCGGAGCTTTACTGTACGTTTCTGTCGTCACATTGCATTTGAAGAAGATGGCTACATCGAGCTTATGCGAAGGCCCAGAGTTTGACCCGCTTGTCCGCACCTGAGGACACGAATGCTGGTTCGGTTGGATGCCATTGCGCTTGTAACACTTTACCGTAATGTTTGTGGTAACTAGCAACAGGTTGCAACGTTGAACTGGAGACTTGCATGATGCAGATCGTACCGTCAAAGGCGGCACTGAGCAGCCACTGACCTCCAGGAGACCAGCGCACAGATCGACATTCGTCTTGGTGAGGCAGAATAATCTGCAAAGCCTCTCGTGCGGTAGATCGCAGATCCCAAAGAGAAACGCTACCGTCTTGGTGACCTGAGACTACCAGTTTGTCATCACTTGGGTGGAAATGCAGGGCAAACGCAGCGTGCTCCCCAGACGTCACTAAGCGCTCACAACGTCTGCTACGCGTATCCCAGAGACGTACTGTTTTATCGAGGGCTGCACTCAGCAATAAGGTGCTAGTCGAGGCTGAATGAGGCATAGCGATCGTTTGGATCTCCCCAACATGACCATCAAGTGTCTGAAAGGGTCCACTATTTGAGTGTTTGTGAGTTCGTTGAACATCCCAACAACTCAAGCGACGATCGTTAGTTGAGGTAGTCCATAGTAAATGAGGGGATGAAAATTCCAGTGCCCGAGTTTTGCCCTTTAACCCGTTGACGTCGCCTCGCTGTATCCAGAATTCGTCGACTTGCTGCTTCTGTAATGGATCTCTATCTTTTGTTATCAACACCTTAACGGATCCATCGGCTGCACCTGACGCAACCATCGAAGTATCGCCATAGTTGAGTAAATGATGATTGTAGGAAACACAATAGATACCCGAGTCGTGATGCTTGTGTCTTTCAAGTGTTACGGGGAGTAGCGGCAGTATCATGTTTTGAGGGGAAGACCAGGATAATTGCTGCTGTCGCTGCTGTAAGGGGGTTGATAAGTTAAAGATTCGTAACGCACGTGCATTTGTACCAACAGCGAAGTGGTTTCCAGTTGGATGAACGTCCAACGCGCGTACGGCTTGAGGCTCTTTCACTTCAGCAATTACGCCTGCACACACCACATGGTCGAGTTTAAGTTCGTCGTAGTGCAGCGGTGGACCCTTGAGCCCCATCGGGATTTCAACATCGAAATCTAGTTCATCATTGAGATCGTGTTGCAGGTCTGCAAAATTATCTTGTTCAGGTGGAAGAATGTCTTCGGTGAACATTTGTTTCTGCTGGGGCTCCCCATTTTCAGGGTACGGATTCAATTGAAGACTGTTTGAACTCTGTTGAGCCCAGCTAGCAGTGAAGTCTTGGCTTGAGATAGCGGGACTGGTAATTAGAGCTTGCTGAATCTGTTCACGTTGAGCTGTTTGCGGTTGCTCTAAGCTAGATTTTGTTTCCACTGCAACCAAGTTGCTACCACCGCGCTGGTTGTTGTCAGCTTCCGCATTCATTACAATCGAGTTGTTGCTTTCCAGGCCGATACGATGGATATCGTCGACTCTTTCGCCACAATTATTATCTTTCACAGTACGTTCCTCGACTATTTCGCCAAGCGGCGGTATACTTTCGGTCTGTGTGGCCACGGCGCTGCACTCATCTGATCCACAACTTACAGCGACATCGGCAGTTTTCTTCTCTTCTGGTGCACAATTCACGCCAGCGTCTACAGTCTCCTTAGTATCCAGTTCACAGCTCACGGTAGCATCTACCATTATCTTCACGTCAATCTCACAGCTCACGGCAGCATCAGCAGTCTCCTTCACATCTTGAATAAAGTCTTCATCAATCCCCTCACTGTCATCTTCTTGCCATTGAAATCTATCCAAATTCATGGAAAATGCCATCGGGTTGCGTTGTTGTTTTTGCCACATCGTCCACTCAACTGAATGCGCCACACTTTGATCTTCTGGAACGACTGCAGTCTCTTCGATCAACACTTCGTTATGTCGTTTATCCAGTAGCAAAATTTCATTTCCATCGTGCTCTTCTTCAGACGCAATGTCCTCGCCAATACTCGTCACCGAAATACAATCTCGAGCTGTACCATCACCAATCTGCCGGTGGAATAGCACAGCATCACGTATCAATCCAACAAGTTGTAACTTCGGCATTGCAACATACTTGAACACGTCGCTCTCGTCTACATCAACAGGAGCTCTAAACAGAGGAACCAGTTTTTCAAAACACTTTAACTTGACTTGAGCGAGTCTCGACTGCGTGTCACCTCGGAATTGAGTCTTCATCAATATTTCCAGCTCGTCCAGAGCTAATAATGCAGCCGTAAACTCCTCGGATACTTCATTGATACTCTTCAAAGGCTGCAACAACGCTCGAGCTCTTGTTACATCTCCAGCGAAAACCCAACGCCGTAGCAACGCAACCTCATGCAAACCACCCCGTAACCAAGTCACATCCAGTCCACTCTCCTGTTGCAACGCTAAAGAGCTGGCATACAGCCCCGTAGCCTGTAGATATTGCGCAACGAGATACAACACATCGTTATGGCGAGGCATCGCCATTCTCGACCTCGAAACTGTAACCAAAACGGCAACCTTTCAATAAGAGAGTCGTCTCTAACTTGTTAGGGGAAATACCCTTATTTGACCGTAACCAATACAGTAAGGGATAGCATAAGGATAGATTGCTGGTATGTTTCTTAAAAAAACATTCTTGGGTTCCTGTCTACATGGTGACGATGCTGCTCTTAGGCGTGTCGGCCCCTGTACCGCCACCAAGCTCGCTCTCACCAGCAGCAGTGGCTCCAAACGCTGCTGCTCCCCCGAAGCCACCGGCCTCCGCGTCCTGCTCGCGCTTCTTCTTCCTTGAGTACATGGCGAACATAAGCGCACCAATGATGATACAGGCAGCCAGCACGCCGATAATGATAAACACAGCTGAGCTAGTGCCGCCAGAGTCCGCTTCAGACGCCACCGAGCCGCTGTTGGCTGACGCAGGGTTCACGTTGTTGTTTGTCGCTTCCCTCGACCCGGATGAGAGTGACGACGACGACGAGCTACTCAGTGATCCATTTACAGACGACGAGAAGCTGCCAGACCCAGAGACTGAACGCGACGTACTACTGGAGCCTGATACACTAGAAGACGTCGATGTGGACGAACTGGAAGATTCCGAGGAGCTAGTTGCCTGGGAAGCGCTGGACGAACTGGAAGCTTTGGAACTAGAACTTTCTGTACTGGAAGAGCTACTGGAAGTCTTGGAACTGGAGCTGGAAGTCGTAGAGCCTGAACTCGTACTCGAGCCGGACTCGCACTTGTCTCCACTAAATCCTTCATTGCACGAGCAACTGAAGCTCGGCGCTCCATCCGAACTGGTCGACATTAAGTTGCACGATCCTTGGCCATTGCACTGTACGCCGTTCACACTGCAGCCGTCTAAACACACCAACAACGTCAGTCTCTGGCAGTATTTAACCCCACGCAATATTTCGCCTTGTCTTACCACTACACGAAGATCCACCGAAGTATTCGTCGCAGCGGTCGATGGACAGACACTTGTAGACGCCGTCGCGTTGGATGCAGGCCAGTTGGCCACTAGTCGCGTCCGACGGGCAGTTGCCAGCCGCCGAGCCGCCGCATACGGTGCCAGCCACACAGGCCTGAATGGAAGTGACCGAGTCGCCCGCCACGCACGTCTCGCCGTCCGCACAGTCTTCAGTGCTGCTGCAGTTGACAGCCATGTGCATGGCCTTCATAGGCGAGGGCGCCAGCGCCAGCGCGAGCAGCGCCACTAGCAGTCGCATTTGGTCTGGACAAATGTCGTCACTTTTGGAATTGGGCAACCTCGACGATCCGGTTTTTTGGCCAGGCGGGAGAGCGGAATATTTGTGCCGCACTTGTCCCATACAAACACCAAGTGTTAGAGACAGAAACGGTACCGGACCAATGTTCAAATCGCGGGTCAAAAACGACATTTCTTTCGAGGCCTCGTTGATATTTGCACTGAACTGTTCCCGTTGGTCACGGGCATTCGCGCCACACATGGAGATTTTTGTGGACAAAACCGTCGCTAACTCTCTGCCGATACGTGTGTGAATTTTGAGGATTTATCCTGGTGAGCTCTGTGCAATTTGGGATCATCAGTGCGCGAGGCAAAGGTGCTGAAGGTGCTGGGTAATCACCGAAATGGATATGATTCGCACCCACGCAGCGCCTCGACTCGCTGGATTTAGTGGGCATCAGAGAAGGAGGACGCAGTATCAGGTTTAACAAATGTCAGAATCCGATTTCTGTCTAACCTGATGATGCGTAAGCTGAAAATTGCAGCATACCCGTAAAATTTAATATCTTTTAATTTTGATAAATTATATAGAAATCCAGACTATCGCTATACGAAGGAGACTTTATGACAAGTCTTGGAATCAAATCGGCGAGACAGGACAAGCAGGCACCTGCGGCGCAACCCACGGCAGGATTATCGTGGCATGAAGCTCGTTGTCCCAAGAAGATCAAGACAAGAAGATCAAGCTTCGTTTACAGCTCCAACAGCGGCGGCTCGGCTCGAGGTCGTCACATGCTAACGTCACCCGATGAAAAGATACGTCTGACTCGTCTACCATCTCAACAGTGGCCTCGCTGGTTATCAGTAAGTTTAGCGCGCTTGCCAAGCGGCTTAGCGCGCGGCTCCACTTGTCTTCGCAAACGATTTCTGGATTGCTCTATCTACAATTAGTAGTTTTTTTTTGTAATAGCGACTTGTAATAGCGACTTCATTTCGTTGGAATTATCAAGCTGAGGTTTCCCCAAAGTTGCCGCGGGGCTTGCCTGTGAATTTCTTCGAAGGACGCAATTGTGAGTGAGTTGGATTGGAATAACATTTTGCTCTATTTTGTGATGGTTGCTTCGTTATGATCTTCAAGAGGCCGCAACGCCATATCAAGGTGATACTAGTAGTTTGTAAAATATGCTCCTTCTAAAGGAACATGTCTGTTTACATGCGAGCGATGTTGGATCTCGGTGTACGGCCGGTGTGACCAGCTGCAAGATCTCTCGCACCCACAGCGCCGACACCTTGTGTGGAAGCAAGGGCGTTGGCGTATTCCTCCTCTTCCTGCTGCTTCCTTCTACGCGAGTACGCAACCAACAACACCGTGCCGACCAAGAAGAACGCTGTCATGACGAGTACGAGGATCAGAACTCCTGGTCGGATGCCACTACGAGAAGTACTAGACACCGACTCGCTGTTAGCTAGTTCGCCCGACGACGACGCCGAGCTGGAGCTAGACGCACTGTCATCCTCTGCATTGTCGTCGGCGTTCGACTCGTCCGATGCATCGGTGGTTGATTGATCGGCATCAGTTGACGAATCATCGGACGTATCAGTAGACGACTCGTCCGTAGCTGAGTCATCCGATGCATCTGTGGACTTATCGTCCGAGGTACCAGAGTCGTCGGCATTGGCATCATCAGATCCATTCTTAGATGCATCATCATCAGATCCATCGTCTAGCGCTCCCCAGAATGAGTCCTCGTCGTCGGTATCGGTAGAGGATGTGTTCGTCGAACCTGGAGCATTCTCACACTTTTCTCCACTGTAGCCATTATCGCATGTGCAGCCGAACACTGGCGTTCCGTCAGCATTGGACGACATCATGTTGCACGATCCCTGGCCATTGCATCGTACTCCATTCACACTGCAACCGTCTGAATAACCACCACAAGATACAGTTAGTCACTCATATTAACACAATTGTATCAATCTAGTTTGTAAGCTTACCACTGCATTTGGAACCTCCGTAGTACGCATCGCATCGCGTAATAGACACGCACTTGTAGATGCCCTTGTTTCCGTTCAGAATGGCACAACCTTCACTGCAGTCGTTGAATGGTCTCCAGAGGCAAGCGAGTTTGCCCGTGTCATCGGACGGACAGTTGCCCATCGAGGAGCCTCCGCAAACCGTGGGTGCTACACAGGCCTGGACGGATGTGTCTGCGTCACCAGCCACACAAGTTTCGCCCCAAGCACAGTCCGCAGTTGTGGTACACGTGATGGCATTCTGTACAGCCTGCACGGAGCCCTGGAGGGCCAGGAAAACCAGCGCGGTAACTCCGAAGACCTGCATTTCGTCACGAATCCTTCGTTCAGGGAGATTTCGGTACTGAGCCTGGAGCCATGGATTGGGAAGGCCTGCTGAGATGAACTTTGGTGAGGAAGGAGACACGGATCAAGGAACTTTCAGTGGCCGCACGTGGCCGATACAAAGCGTCAGTGAGACGAGCAGAACATGGTAGCCATGACGCAAAAACTAGCCAAGTCAAATCCCGCATTTTGCCTGGAGCGCGTGCCCCCGAAACCTTGAAGGTTTTCTTTCAAGGTCTCGTGAGCTGGATGGCTGGTTCCGAATTGCTTTCAACTGGTGGGAATTAATCCCTCATCCATTGCGAAAACCAGCGAAAAGAGCCGTTTGATATCGCTTCCAGATGAACCAGTTGGCTCCGTTATTGGGGCACCCGTCACGGAACCTCAATGCTATGTTTCCTGTGGCACTGGGCAAGGTGCCCGCACGAAAACACGACAACGGAAAAATTAGAGATGTTTTTTTTAAACTTCAAAGTACAGTTCAGTCAGTACATGTACGATACGGTGGTGCAGTGCGGATAAAAAAAACTACATCATGTAGCCTACATGTACCGCTCCGGAGTGGAATGTGTTATTGCAACAGCAGAATACCTTTGAGATCAGAGACGGCACTGTTAAAGAACTGTCGTTCAGTAGCTTATTGTACAAATAGGGAACGACGGTCATTGTTATTGCAGAACCATCCTGCTCTACTTAAGTACAGACAATCCTCTTTGTAGTGATATCGTAAGGAAGCCACTTTTTTATTACTATCCGGAGGAATCACTTTCAAGAGCTGTACCATTACAAGGTTACCGTCGTTTTATGGCTACACTGCTGACTGCAAGGTCGACACAGTGGATGACCATGTTCTTTCTTCATACTGACGCGATGGGTCTGCCGCATCAAGCAATTTGAGGCTTCAGACTCTGCAGAGCGCGTTCCGAGGGAAGTTGGGTCGCCAGCGGGCCGAACCAAGCAAATAGAGAGCTGTAGTTTTCCGGGGCTATTTGAGGGTACGCAGCTAATCAAGGTGAAGTCGTACCCACGGATGAGGGGAGTGTGTCATGCATGACACGCAGGCGAAAAATATAGATCAGGCACTACCTTGGCCGCACGGCGTCTCAGTCGCCTTTGGTGCCGCCCGGCTATAGCGGTAGGGTGGTGAACGCGCTTCCCCGCGTCGACTTCGGTTCCGCGGCTCACCTGCCGACGACATACAGTATGAAAAGTCATCCTGGAGACAGCCACTGGGCAGCTCCAGGCGACAACTCTCCTCACGGCAAGGGGTTGCTCTCAGCAGCGTCCTCCTCAGCCCCAGTGGTCGCAAACCACTGTCCCCCGCTCTCCGAACCCACGAGCCACTTCAATCTACCGCCTCAGTACGCACCAATGTCCTGTTCGCCCTGTCACCCTCGCTCAGTAAGTCTTTCTCTCTGTTGGGTGAGGCCGGCCCCGTAGAACCGCAAAACCCCACGCGTATATTAGCTGCTTAATCCTGCCCAGTACTGGCGGAATCGCAACTGAGAGTTAGGCGGCCACCGCCGGCCGTCCAGAGCTCTCCTACGAAGACTACTTCTTTTTACCAACTATGCACCTGGCCTCCTGACCGTCCATTTCTCCCGTCGACGTCGCCTCTCCTTCCTGCACTCTCTTCGTCGTACCTGACGCTGTGTCGCTCCTCCTAAGCGATCTTCTCTCGGTGACTGCTCGCCCTCCACGCCTTTTCAGATGCTGGCCGCCACCTTCAGCCACAGATCCTAGCGCTCGTCAGTCACTGACTGCAACGTTCTTCTTTAGCTGTCTTCAACGTCACTCTCCGTTAGGTCGATTGTCACTATGTCGGGGTCCTGTGTGACGTCAACACTGTGACGCGCACGCCGCCTACTAAGGGTTATGAAGTGTTGCTCCAAAAATAAGTTCCTTGGAGTAACAGCACACCTCATAACTGCACTGGAGTTAAGAATTGGGACATCCAAAAATATCCGAAAGGAACTCTATGATTAGCTTATCCGAATTTTTGTACTGCTATTCCTGACTCCGCTACAGTTCTATAGTGCAGTTACTGGACTTCTTCGGACGTAGATTTACCAAACGTTTAATTTCAATAATTATCGACCTATTGATAGTAATAATTGACGATTATTTGTCACTAAGTACAATCTGGAGGTGATAGGCAATTTTGATTTGGTTTGTACAGTAACGGACAGAATGTAACTGCCACACATGGCTAAGTTCTTCATAGTTAAGGAGGACCTGTCCATGTCTAAACATAATAGAACGGCCACCAATAATACCGACAATCGACACGATTTTGCCAATATATTTTTACCTTACTGTTTGTAAGTAAAAAATATTTGAGTTCAATTATAATCTTTATTCATGTGGATCATATGTTTCTCTTTTATGTCCTAGAGAATGCTACTCCTCTAGAACTGACAGTTAGTTGTGGACGTTGCTGCTGCCACAGATAATTTTTTTGTCCACACTAATTTAGTTTATAATCGGATCAATCCTGTCTTTAAAATACGTGGTGGAGAAGCTATATTATCGCGGATATGCTATCGATAGAGGTTACTGATGTTTCGGAGAGCAGTGGCGTGATTGAACAGAATGTGCTTATGCAAGAGAGCAACTTGACCTTTTGGTAGGTAGTGGTGGCAGCCTCACTTTTTCCTTCTGTGGTAGCAATCTGGCAGCTCCCCAGGAGACCTACCCTTCTAAAAGTACGACCAAGGACACCAGTTAGCCTTCGGGCTCTTGTTAAACTTGATTTAACCCCTGACACCTGCGAAATTAGTGTTATAGTGTGGACCCGTATAACCCCAACATCCCATAATCATGGGTAATCTGGTGAATTAGTCCAGGCCTTCATCGTTTTTCAGTAGATATCCCGGATCCAATACAGATTTCAGTCCGGGTTTTGGTGTATTCGTGTGAACTACGTACTAAAAGACTAGAAGATAGGAGTATGGGGCGTGACAAGAGTATACCAAGCGCCTAAGACAGCCTTTTCCGGCCCATATATTTGTGTCGCCAACTCATGTCAAGTAGCTCTGCGTGTAACAATGCTATTACTCTCAATTCCAAGCCAGCATGAAACGGCGAGCTAGGTAACAAAGATCCTCGAGATATTTTATCTCAGTTTATACTGTAAGAATGTGAGTTTTACTAGCCGTGAATACATATCATTTGTGACCACACGTGATACGTTTCCGGTTTCGGCAGAAAGCTCGTGAAGCACGCGTTTCACTCGAGCTTCAAGGGCACCCTCCCTTCCTCCAGCTTGAACGTCTGAACAATATTGTGAACATCTTCCGATACTATGATTTTGTCTGTAATATACAAAAAAACAGTTAGATATACATGTGTGCAGCGTAACAGCAGAACCGCACAAACCAGAGCGAGTCTTAAGGAATTGTAGAATCCGCTTCACCGAAGATCCGCCCTCGTAAAGATTCTTGGCCAGTCCAAGCAGGGACGGATCAACAACCTTTAGGTTTTCAGCGTACCGTCGATAAAGTGATTGTGCGATGTTGTGATGGTGCGTTGTCACGCTTTTCGAGACTTCAACACGATACACACCGTTATCGCAATCCTCTCGACTAAATTGTTTCACAATTCGAGCGGTCACTACGGCCGGCATCCTGTAGACCGGTAGCTTTGAAGTTTTCTTCGTTTTTTTTTCCTGCATAACAATGACAATAATATAAATCCCTATATTTTAAAGCGTACGAGGCTAATAAAATATCTAGTGCCACATATCACGATATCTAGGTTTTCCACCGTGAGTGCAAATGTAGGTGCGACTGTAAATAGGTTTAGTTTTCTCCGTGTCCGTGCCACAATAGTCTGGAAAAAACACTAGGAGCTCCAGATGTACAGCGTGTTCTGGTCTTCTTGTTCATAGCTTCCACTGTAACAGTGTCACGAATGCTGTCAAAAAAGTAGCACAGTGAGACCTTACAATTATTACTGCTAAATAACAACTAGCTCACCGGAATGGCTGATACGTGTCCGAAGCGTACGTCTCAAAGTACTCCGAGAAAGCTTTCCAAGCCGAAGATAGTAGTACTTAGACCTTGACATTCCACTAGTGACGTAGATCCAACGATACCGGAGCCAGCAAAGCCCGCGCTTTCCTCTTCTGAAGCCGACAATTCACTTTCAACTTTGCTCCACTCACTGTCGGCATTATCGTCACCTATTCGACGTTTCTTCGCATCATTTCTTGACACGAGCGACTGGCTGTTATATCCCACACAATCCCCATTTGCATTTACCCAGCCGACTCCGTCAGAGGATCAACAGCGAGGAGACGTCGGCCTGCAGCCCTCGGACTGGGGGGGGGGGGGGGCATATTGGTTCGAAACTGGCCAGTTTCATCAGAGCCACTAAATAGTATTAATTTGTGAAGGATCTGTAATTTATGCACTCAAAAATAACTTCTCCACCTGTGATATAAGTGGCAAAAACCTGACAGGTCAGGCCACAGGTAGAGAAAATATGTCTTTCACCTGTGGCAGCAGACACTCCGGTTAGTTGTGGCGGCAGTTGTATTCTGTCCGTTGCTGTATGCTGACGGTCAGCGGGAGACCTCTCCAACCTCCTTAACCCCAACACTAGCAATTTCCAGGACAAAAATAGGACCAATCCTTAGTTGCCCTTCTTCGTGCCAATAGAAGGTAAAAATTGAGATCGTTAGTAACTCAAGCATTGCAAGACGGATGTCTGCTACGCTGATCATCTCGTTGTCGCTCAAAGCAAGTTAGGACTTTGTAAATAATAATCAAACTAGATGCTGCTCATGTAGGTCTTCTATCGATTGGTCCAACGATTCCAGGACAAAAATATACTAACTCGTTTCCTAACGTTGCTGCAAACGGAGAGAGCATCGGCTTTCTGTTGCAATCAATCTATCACTTGGTGCGCGGCGGTGTGGTTCATCGAGTGGCAAACCTCGCTTTCTTGACGGGGGAATTGCTCGATTCTCTTGCCAAACAGTTTCATGAAGTTCTTCTGGCACTTCGCATGGGCGTAGCAGCTCCTTGTCTGTATGGAACTTGTTGAAACACGTCGTTATACCGTTCCAAGCTTGATTTGGCTTTCTGTTGCCGCACCACTAAGAGAGCGTTATAAAACCCGCACAATATCAACAGTGTACTCACCTTGTGAATCTAAATGCCTCCAAGAATGACCCTGTTGCCAGTGAAACGATCCCGTGCTGAACAGGTCCATACCTGGAACAAACAACACTAGTGCTAAAGCACTTTTCTTAATTAAAAATCTTGCCCTTTTTTCTTTGGATTTCGCACATGTACCAAACCAAGATCGGCAACAGCCTGGGAGCGAGTCCGTATCATGTCATCATCGGGATAGATAATCGAAACATCGGCGACATATGCGATCTTCGCGCATAACACACGAGCAAGTTCCGCTGTGTGAGATAGATCTCTGTCGTGACACATAGGTGCCGACCACTGGATTTGTACATCGTCATGTCTGTTCTTCTTGCCTCAAGCGCGGATAATTTCCGCGTATCGAGCCTGGGTCATCGCGGTAGGGTCGTAGAAGAACGCCGGTGTCACGGAGTAAAAGCTGAGCCAAAGCTCTACATCCACAAATCGAAGCAGCCCCTCCGTTGACACGGCAAAGCTTGCGTTGATGAAGTCTCTAAATGAAGTCACTACTGATTCGTCCAGCCAAGC